TACAGCACAGAAGGAGCCCATTCAGCCCATCATGCCTGTGCCGGCTCTTTGAAAAGACTATCCAAATCAATCCCACTCCCCCGCTCTCTCCCCATAGCCCTGCAAACTTGTCCTCCCCAAATAATTATCTATTTCTCTCTTAAAAGTTGTTATCGAATCACCCTTTCAGGCATTGTGTTCCAGACCTGAAAAACTCGCTGTGTGAAAAAATTTCTCCTCACCTTGACTCTGTTTCTTTTAACAACTATTTTAAATCGGTGTCCTCGGGTTACCGACCCACTCGCCAGTGGAAACAGTTTCTCCTTGTTTACCCTATCGAGTCCCCTCATAATTTTGAAAACTTCTATTAAGTCTCCTCTTAACCTTCTCTGCTCCAAGCAGAATAATCATAGCTTCTCTCGCCTCTCCTCATAACTGAAGTCCCTCATTCCTGGTACCATCCTGGTAAATCTCCTTTGCACCCTCTCCAATGCCTTGACATCCTTATTATTATCCTATTATTATTTTTATATTATCCGTCCTAAAGTGTGGGGCCCAGAACTAAACACAGTCTCTCGCTGAGGCCTAACCAGTGTTTTATAAAAGTTCATCATAACTTCCTGACTTTTTGTATTCTATGCCCCTATTTATAAAGCCTAGTATCCCGTATGCTTTTTTAACAGCTCTATCTACCTGTCCTGCCACGTTCACAGATTTGCTTATATGAACTCCCAGGTCTCTCTGTTCCTTCACCCCCTTTAAGATTGTACCATCAGCTTATATTGCCTCTCCTCATTCTTCCTTCCAAAATGCATCACTTCGCATTTCTCCACATTAAACTTCATCTGCCACGTGTTTGCCCATTTTACCAGTCTGTCTATGTCCATTTGCAGTCTGCTACTATCCTCCTCACTGTTTACTACTTTTCCTAGCTTAGTATCATCTGCAAACTTGGAAATTGTACTCCCTGTACCCAAGTCCAGGCCATTTATATACATTCAAAAACAGCAGTGGTCCCAATACCGACCCCTGGGGGACACCACTGCACACTTGCCCCCGGTCAGAAAAACAACCGTTCACCACCACTCTCTGCTTTCTGTCTCCCAGCCAGTTCTGTGTCCATGCTGCCCTGTCCCTTCAATACTGTGGGTTTCTATTCTGCTTACAAGTCTCTTATGTGGCACTTTATCAAATGCCTTTTGAAAATCCATATAAACCACAGCAACTGCATTACCTTCATCCATCCTCTCTGTTACTTCATCAAAAAACTCTATCAGGTTTGTTGAACATGATTTGCCTTTAACAAATCCGTGTTGACTGTCCTTTATTAACCCATATTTTCCTAAGTGAAAATTTATTTTGTCCCGGATTATAGTCTGTAGAAGTTTCCCCACTACTGATGTTAGCCTGACTGGCCTGTAGTTCCCGGGTTTATCCTCCGATACTGTGGCTTTGGCTGCATCCTCTTCTTTTGTGAAGACAGATGCAATTCAATATGTCAGCCATGCCCTCTGCCTCCACAAGAAGATTTCCTCTTTGGTTCCTAATTGGACCCACCCTACCTTGGCCTAACCTTTTATTCTTTATATGCTTATAAAATACCTCAGGTTCCCTTTTACGTTACCTGCTAATGTTTTCTCCTACAATCCCTTTGCCCCTCTTATTTCCTTTTTTAGTTCTCCTCTGTACTTTCTATATTCTATTTGATTATCAACCCTGAACATAGGTCACCAATATAATTGCATCCTCTTCCAATACCAATGTATTAAACATCCTTGAAAGTTATTTTATTACATTTCTTGTAAATACCGAACTCTACAAGGAAGGTTCCAGGTTCATAGAAGGTGTCATCCCATATATTCATAGTGCTAATTTGTTTTATCTCTCCCTTTACACAGCAAACAAGAATTTGTCAAACAATTCCAGGGATAACACACCAATTACACAAACTATAGAGTTTTCAATTGATTATTATATTGGTGAACTGATTAGAGATGATACTTGGAGAAATAACAGAACGATACTTTAGAATCCACCAACACAGTACAAGTGAACACAGGTTTAAAGTTGTGAAGAGCAATTTCAGGACAGAAACTGGGAAGTGTTTCTTCACCCAGAGGGTAATTAACGACTGGAACAGGTTGCCAAGAATGATGGTTGAAGCCAGGATGATGGACTGATTTAAAAAAAGATCCAGACATCCTTGAGGTCCCAGCAGGGATGGGCTGAAGAGACCTCTGCAACACAGCGAGTAATTCTTACCCGAATGAATAAACAGTAGCTTTGTGCACTTGCCCAGTGCAATCCTTAGCCTGCTGAATACACAGTATTAGTACAGTTACATGGTGACTGTAACTGTACAGTCAACACCCTGTTGAATAAGCAGGAACTTCACATAGTAACACCTTGCAGTCCGCACTTTAATAATAAAAATAATCTTTGTATTTGATATAACACCTTATCGGGTCTTTGAGTTGTCTCAAAGCACTTGACAGAATATACTGCAAAGTGAATTGATTGTATATTTTGTGAGCGAAATGCGGCAGCCAATTGTGCACAGCAGTGGATTGTTGTGATTGTGGATTGAATGACCAAATTATTATTTTTTTAAAAAAAAATTTGAGGTGATTATTACCCTTGGAAAAGCTGTCCGCCAATGAAATATCAACCAGATTTCTACTTACAGCAGGTAAACAGAGGCGTGGGGAGTCCAAAACTCCCCTGAGGTTTGGCCCTGTCCAGGAGTCCAACCCAGGTCCTCCTGCTGGAGAGACAAGCGCGTGAGGCTCTGCCCACCACCAGTCTGTATAGATGTGCCACAGGACTGTAGAGATTTCATTGAAGATTAGTAGGTATCCTGTACACTGTGGATGAAGAAGGCATTCCCCTCAAACTGGAGGCTGAGTATTTTACTTCAACAGTGCACCAGAAACAGAGAAACCATTTCCAACTCTCAATTCCTCAAATGCCCAAACTGACCTCCAGCGGCGATACCCCCCGAGGACAGGACAGGGCCTCATCGTCAGACTCTTTTTCTGGAGCAGATGCCACGTTTGTAGGTAAAGCAGCGTTTTGTTGTTTTGTTTTGACACATTTTCTACTTATTGTAAATGATGGAATGGATGTTATTCACTCTCACCTCTACACTACTAATGTGGCGGTAGTGATGAGGGATTATAATAAATATTGATCCTTTCATAACTCAGCCATTGAACCTCCAGTCACCTCTTCAGCCGTAGTTGGGATACCCAGTGTTATCAGCATCGCTACCCCCGGGCAAGGCGTGTGGGGGCAATAACCATTTTTTAAAATATATTCATATTCCAGCGCTTCCTCCCCCCACCCTGACCCTCCCCCCCTCCCCCCACCCTGACCCTCCCCCCTCCCCCCACCCTGACCCTCCCCCCCTCCCCCCACCCTGACCCTCCCCCCTCCCCCACCCTGACCCTCCCCCCCCTCCCCCCACCCTGACCCTCCCCTACCCCCCTCCCCCACCCTGACCCTCCCCTCCCCCCTCCCCCCACCCTGACCCTCCCCCCCTCCCGACCCTACCCTCCCCTCCCCCCTCCCCCCACCCTGACCCTCCCCCCTCCCTGACCCTCCCCCCCCTCCCCCACCCTGACCCTCCCCTCCCCCCTCCCCCACCCTGACCCTCCCCTCCCCCTCCCCCCACCCTGACCCTCCCCCCTCCCGACCCTACCCTCCCCTCCCCCCCTCCCCCACCCTGACCCTCCCCCCCTCCCTGACCCTCCCCTCCCCCCCTCCCCCACCCTGACCCTCCCCTCCCCCCCACCCCCTGAGCTCTGCTGCGCCTCATCTCAACTCTCTGACAGCAGTTGATGGGAAATACATTTCTGCAAAATTGTAAAGTCAGGATTGGAGAATTCAGCAACAAATGTCATGGGATTTCTTCCCCCCCCCCACCAAAAAAATTATATTCAGAGATAAATAGAAAACCTTTGAGATTCCAGTCTACTTCAGGCAATGTTAGGCTAACGGGATTGTCCATTATAACTGTCCATCCATATCGTCGCTGAATATAACAGATATACTGGAATGGCACTCGGGGAGAAGGTGGGAAAAGAGAGCAGAGGGTGGGGGGTGGGGTGGGGGGGTGGGGGGGAGGTGGGGTGGGGGTGGGGTGGGGTGAGGTGGGGTGAGGTGGGGGTGAGGTGGGGGTGGGGTGAGGTGGGGGTGGGGGTGAGGTGGGGTGGGGTGAGGTGGGGTGGGGTGAGGTGGGGGTGGGGTGGGGTGAGGTGGGGGTGGGGGTGAGGTGGGGTGGGGGTGAGGTGGGGTGGGGTGAGGTGGGGGTGGGGTGGGGTGAGGTGGGGGTGAGGTGGGGTGAGTGGGGGTGAGGTGGGGGTGGGGGTGAGGTGGGGTGGGGGTGAGGTGGGGGTGAGGTGGGGGTGGGGTGGGGGTGGGGTGGGGGTGGGGGTGGGGTGTGTGGGGTGGGGGGGGTGGGGGGGGTGGGGTGGGGGTGGGGTGGGGGGGGTGGGGGGGGGTGGGGGGGGGTGGGGGGAGGTGGGGTGGGGGGTGGGGTGGGGTGGGGTGAGGTGGGGTTGGGGTGGGGGGTGGGAGTGGGGTGGAGGTGGGGGTGGGGGTGAGGTGGGGTGGGGGTGGGGTGGGGGTGGGGTGAGGTGGGGGTGGGGGTGGGGTGGGGGTGGGAGTGGGGATCCAGCGATGAAATAATTGTCTCAATGAAGTGATGGTAATACCAGGGTTTGTCGCTCTGGTTATGAAATGTGTGTGAACCGGTGGATTCGGCGTTGCTATTCCGGAGCAGCTGTTCGGTGGGGGTTATATTGTGTAATGTATCAGTTATACTTTACACCGAGAGTCCGATGAATGACACTGAATGTGTCTCGTTAATAGCAGTGGGGGAGTGGGGGGGACTGAGGAGTCCCAAAGGGGCGGTGGGGGAGGAGGGACCTCAGTGTCGGGACAGCGATCAGCAAATGGCAGAGTGTCAGACGGTGCCGCTGCCCCGCACATGCTCAGTGTGTCGGCGCTGTGCTGCTGTGCGGTTGTGTGCGGTTGTGTGCGGGGTCCGCTCGGGGTCCGCTCGGTGTGGTCATGCTGCCCTGCCCCGCCAGCCCGGCCCGCACACAGGAGCGGGGGGAGGCCGAGCCGACACCCACAGGGGAAATGAAAGAGGAGGTGAGCGGACATCAACATCACGACGTTGACTAAACCAACTCCAATTAGGGAGGCGGCTTTGTCTGATCTGAAACCTTCAAGTCCCTGTTTAAATATGCATCAAACATTGTATTCTGTGTACCATTGAAGCTAAAGCCATTGTTCAGTTACGATGTTAATATTGAATCTGTTATGTGTTAAATACAGTGTATTCGTTTCTCGTGTATTGGCTGAAAACTCCTATTCTCACCTGAGCCGCTTGAGGTTAAAATATGATTTTTTAGCGGTGTGCACATTGCAACCCGCGTATTCGTTCTTTAAAATGTTAATATTTTCTTGCATTGAGCTTTGTGTGTCTGCAATAGTGCAGAACATTGACCCCCCTCGGAAATACTGTATAGTAGGGAGTTGTCTGGCAAGTGCTGAATGCAGTGTTTTAATCAGGACCGGAGGACTTGTGTGAAATAAATACCCCGGGACACAATAAACAGGACATGAATCAAGGAGTATGTATGGATGGAGGGGGTAATAAATGGTGGGGGTGGGAGTGAGACAGAGAGGAGAGGATTGCAGCTGAAGAAAAGACGCCCTTTATTCTCCACTAAAAGCAGAGTGTGGATCTGAGAGGTGAATCCTGTTCAGACTGAATTGCGTTTTGCTCACACATTAAAAAAAACACACATACAGCAAAAATAATTGCACTCTGAAATAAAAAAATGGTTTCATTCAATTTGAAAGAAATCTCTCTTCACTTCTGTCCCACTGCTCTGCAGCAACAGCAGAAGAGAGATAATGTAACTGGCATCCATTTAAATTACATATCAAATGTATTCAATGAGAAGAGCAGCTTTATACATATAGACACAAAAAGAAGCAGAGAAGTGTTCTGCCTTTTAATCAAATTCCAGAGAAGGTAAATAATACGTATTATGGTTGTGCCCTACATTGATTTTAATAAATGTGCCTCTTCAAGACAGTCTCGCAGATTACAATACAAAGGAAGGAGCATTAATTCCAGCTGGTAGATTGGCTTGGAGGCCGAGGAGCAGCTTTGTAAATCAGGCGGTGTGCAGCCTTTTGGTTCAAATGCTGTGTGTGATGGGGTCTACCTTTCTTTTCCTGTCATTTTTGCTTGGTTTCCTCTCCCACCACAACAAAAATGGGTTTGCGAAGGAGACTATAAACATTTTTGTGTTTTCAATCTTGTATGTCATGCTGGGGAAGGTTTGGAAAAAATAATAATCCTTGCATTTAATTTAGCACCTTATCAAGTCTTCAAGATGTCTCAAAGCGCTTCACAGAATATATTGTAGAGAATTGATTGTATATTTTGTGGGCGAAAAAAAAAGTAAAATTGATGAACAGACAGCTGGAGACCTTTCCCTTCTCAGACCTCTGGGTTTTGGGCGTGGTTCTGTGAGGTTATATTATATTTTCAAGTTAATCTTTAAATAAAAGCACGAATGAAACGCTGGACAGTGTACAGCATTTCAGACCCGAGCTGGGATCGGGGGGGGGGGGGGGGGGAGAAGGGAGGGGAGGGGGGTGACCGATGGCATGGTCAAAGAGGAGGGTTTTGAGGTGGGACTTGAAGGAGTCTAAGGAGGGGGGCGAGGCGGAGTGATTAGGGGATGGAATTCTAGAGGTTGGGGGCCGAGTGGCTGAAGGCTCTCCCGCCGATGGTGGGTCGGGGGGCGTGGAGCAGGCCAGAGCCGGCTAAGCGGAGGGAGTGGGCAGGTTGGTAGGGGGTTAGGAGGTCGCAGAGCTAGGGTGGTGCGAGACCATGGAGGGCTTTGTAGGTGAGGACCAGGATCTGGAACTGGATCCTCTGAAGGATAGGGAGCCAATGGAGTCGGGCGAGAGTGGGGGAGATGGGGTCACAGAGTTTGGTGTGGGAGAGGACACGGACTGCAGAATTCTGCATTATCTGCAGCCTGTGGAGGGAGGAGTTGGGAAGGCCAACAAGCAGTCGAGCCTGAAGGTGACGAAGGCATGAACAAGAATTTCAGTGGCCTGAGGGGTGAGGTAGTGGTGGAGTCAGACGAGGTTTTGACTCAGCCCAAGCTACCATGACTTCTCTCTAATGTCATCATTGGTTCCATGTGAATTGAGAATGGGGAGTGACAACCTGCTTTTAAGGATGGATGGTGCAATATGTATTTTAAAACTGGTACATTCAGATAGAATTCTACCTTGTATTTAACCCTTGCTGTCCCTGGTACGGGAATACAGTATTGTACTTCACTGACAAGGACAAAGGGAACTTTATGAGTCCTTTACTGTGAGAAATTAGAAAATTCTGAATTCCTCAACACCAACATTCTTCAACTTGATGTACAGTAACAAAAGGACAGCTTGCCTGCTTGTAAGTTTATCCAATGCGTGATTGAAGCATCGGTGGCCAATGACCTATTATCAAATAAGAAATAAATATTTAAGCTATATTAATTATTATATTTGCAAGTTAAATTTTCAATAAAGACATCAATGAAATGCTCTTTGAAGGGCCTGGTTTTATTGTTGTCTTAAAGTATTGTGGCTTAAAACGTTAATTACTTAAATTCATTTAATATGTATTTCTACATTTTACTCATTAGGCGCCGTGCAAATCCGCTCATGTCAACTTGTCTGTAACTCTTGCGGTTAATGTAACTACTTGGATGTTCCTTAGCTTTTATGTTGCTTGTGCTGGTACCATGTCAGTCGCAATAGCTTATCAGGATATTTCACATTAAAAAGTAAATTGGGCAATTCTTGATTTTTCTCCAGATTTCTCCCCCTTCCTCTTCTGAACTTACTGACCCATGTTGTGGGAGAGGTGGCTTCCCTCTGATATCTCACTAAAGTGGCGATTCTTCAGTCAGTTAGTCTAGATTGTGTGCATTTACGGGTTACCTGACCGTGAAAGATAATAGTCGGGGCAAAAGACATCACTTGATGATCCAGTCGTGACCTGGTGTACATACACATTCACTTTCCATGACTGAATAGAGATCAGAAGCTCACATTCTCATGCTTTTGGTCTTAAAACCATTGCCTTAAAATTGAAGATTGTGTCGAATTAAGCATAAATTCAGTCTTTATTTAGAGGCCAGTTTTCCAGTTTAGTCAATCTCTAGTTGAGCACTGACCAGTTAATTATATGCAGGGAGTAAATGTAGGGAGACTTTCAGGCCGAGAGGACAATATGAATTGAAAACCCCCTTGTTGTTTTGTCCTATGAGGAGGTACCTTCATTGTTATTCTAAATATTGACTTCACTGAGTTTTACTCCAGTGGGAGTCGGGCTGCACAATTACTCTGCTCAAACCTTGCAGGAAGGCTTTGCGAGCAGAAGTGACTGCCTGACTGGTGAGCTCAATGAAGCAAGTTTGTTAAGCTTGTTGTGTGAATTCTGATGGCAGTTATTGGAACCTCTCTGGGGAGAAACTGTAGGGATGGATTATAAAGGAGGGGTGGATGGGGTAGGGGAGGATGAATGTTGACAATCATTTTAATAACTTGTACAATCCTGTAGCGTAGTGGTTAGAGCACTCGCTTCGCAAGCTAGGGGACCGGGGTTGGATTCCCAGATAGGGGGAAACGTTGGGCAAGGTTCCTTCCTCCAAACCCTATGTTTATCTAGCAGTAAGTTGGAACCCGGTTGTTAGTCGATTGGTGGATCGCTTTTCTGGGGGGAGTAATAATCCCTTTAAAAAAAATGTTTTAAAATAATAATCTGGTCACTCAATCCATGACTGTTTGTGGAGCACTGCTGTGTACAATTGGCTGCTGCGTTTTGGCCCTCAAAATACACAGTCAATTCACTTTACAGTATAGAGCACTCACCTCGCAAGCAAGAGACCTGGGTTCGATTCCCTGCAGGGCGAAATGTTGGGCAAGTTTCCTTACTTCACATGCCTCTGTTTACCGAACATGACTATTTGTGGGACATTGCTGTGTGCAATTGTCTGCCGTGTTTCGCCCACAAAGAATAAAGCATTGCACAGATACAGTCTCTCACGCAAGGTACAATGGAGAGCTCCACATCCCTTTCCCACACTCATTTACATATAGACAGAACGGAGAACTCCATAGAACCTCTGCACACACAAATATACACAGGACACACACACATTATATATATATATATATACACACACAGGAGTCATGTAGCTCAGTGGTTAGAGCACTCACCTTGCAAGCGAGACACCTGGGTTCAATTCCAGGCAGGGCAAAACCTTGGGCAAGTTTCCTTACTCCACACAGAGCCTAATAATAATCCCTCCAAAACAAAACAATAATAAATTGGTCATTTTCAATCCACGACTGTTTGTGGGACACTGCTGTGCGCAATTGGCTGCCGCGTTTCTCCCACAAATGTACGGTCGATTCACTTTACAGTCTATTCTGTGAAGTGCTTTGAGACGTCGAGCAGATTTATAAAGCGTTATATCAAATGCAAGGATTATTATTTATATATACATACACACACACACACATTCACACACACTATATACACTCACAACACACACACACCTACACAAAGGGGATCAAATGGACAACATTGGAAGCTGGCATACACACTTATGTATGCCTACAAATACACATAAATTACACTTAACAGTAATTTATTGTGAAGCACTGTGAGACATTTCGATGCGATAGGAAACTATATCAAATCCAAGGAATAGTATTATGATGTATACACAGATGTTTTCATAGTACTGAAACACACAAAGAGATCATATGTACCAGTGAGTAGTCAGGCTTAAATAAGAGCCTGGATGAATGAAGCAGACCTGCGGTGTCTCTGTTGGAAAGATTACGATTTGTCTTACCTTTCCCCACCCCCCCGTCTGTGCTTCAGCAGAGTCATCTTCAATGTCAAACTGGGGTCTGTCAGGGTGAGCCAGTGCTGTAGGAAGGATCTCACTATCATTTTAATTAGCTAATGTATGGCTTGGTTACTGAAGCACAAACTCATTTGCTTTTTTTTAGTGTCAGCGACTTGTTCGTGAGCGGGATGAGGCCGAGTGTCGCCTGAAACAGATCAAGCGAGGTAGGTCCATTTTTTCATCTCACCACGAGATCCATCATTTCTTAATCTGCAGTGGCTGAAGACATAGCACTGAACAGTCACTGTGCTCTGGTTAAAAATAATAGCATTTGAACATTCAGGGGTGCTATACTGAGTTGGAAATTCAACCAAAGACTCACTTTCTGAGACTAAAGACATTACAATACAGTATTACTTTGCAATTTGCTGCTCTCTTTCATTCTACATTTCTAAAGTGCTAAAACTCTGTCTCTCTTTTTATTTGGTATTATTTGTGAGTCATTGTAAATTGTACAATTTCAAAATAAACATGTGGAAATAAGAAGACCCGAACAAGGCTAGCAAAGCTCAGAAATTGACCAGAGCCTCATTCCTGTGAGGTACGAAGAAGAGGCTGGAGCAGGTTACTGCAGTGATGACATTGACTTGGCTGTTGGTTGCATTTTGCCATTCTTGACATCACAGGGTTACTATTGATGCTTAAACATGGCATTGCATGTAATCGCTGCTTTTGTAAACCAACCAGGGTGTTAAGCATTGAATTAAACAATAGCCTAGTGAGTACAGACACCACTCTTCCTCAAACATGGAAACTAGAAAATCTGGAACTCTCTCCTTCAAAAGGAAGTGGACGCTGGATCCATTCAAATTTTCAAGACCGAGGTGGATAGATTTTTGTTAGGTGTTGTACCACGAATATGGGGCAAATGTGGCTAATTGGAGATGAGGTATAGATCAGCCATGATCTAATAGAATGGCAGAACAGGCTTGAGGGGCTGAATGGCCTATTCCTGTTTTTATGTACCTATTGTAGGTTGGAATCCCAGTCTGTGCTGAATAGAGCAGCAGGTAAGATGCTACACTTAGTCTTAGTGACCCCAGGGTAATGAGGGGATAGGTCAGCCAGCAGTTCTTGCTCCTATCCAGGGATCCTCTGCTGCAAGGTGTCCATGTACATAATCAAATGAAGGCAGGAGTGGGGTTGCAATGGGAACTCTGAAGTCCTGGCTGGCCAACATTCAATGTGAAGACTCGCACATGAGCAATAGTCTGTTGAAGGAAAAATGTGTTCAAGAAAGCGAAAGAGGCAATTGCAGTCAATTCCTAACTAAATCACTTTGGAAAAACCCAATCACAAACAATAGCTTACTTATTAAATAATGGTTTGGCCATGGTTTGAAATATCTGAATCCTTCAATATTATCAATTGTTTGTTGCCCTCACTGACAGTTCTTTGACCATCTTATAGGTTAAATTGGTTTATTCAGCCACACTTTCTCATCCAGCCTTGTCTCTGTGCATATTATCTGCACTCCAGACATGAGTTGCCGATGGATAGTGCAAGAAACATAATGGAAAATCATTATAAAATAAGTAATAAGAAAACTGCTAACTTTAGAAATCAGAGTGTGATAGTTTCCACAGTCTTCATAGCTTGCTGAGAGTCCATTCTATTTAATGGTTCAGTGAGAAAAGGAATGTTGCTCTAAACTGCACCAAGGCTGATTGTAAAATGGGTCATGGAAATATTCTGCACCGTAACTTGCATAAATTGTGCCAAAGTGCTGTTTGCACATAGTAGTAATGTGCCGAGATTAAGGTAGAGACTAAATTTACTAAACTGGCTCCTCAGGCATTTTATTAATACTCTCTGTCCCCCCACCCCCCCGTCCCATACAAACACTCACACACACTAATAACACGAGGTGTCTCTAATGTAAGCAATAGAATAAGTAGCATTGTTTCATTCAGTACAATTTTCACTCATGTCACGATGCATATCCTAGGCATAACCACACTGTATTGAGAAGAGATCTGAGATAGCACGAAAGAGACCAGATAAACAGCAAGTTGCAATCACAAGCAGCCGTTACCCTGTCATAAAAAGACTGAAACTGATATTACCATTTAATTGTATTCACTAACTGAAGTTGTATTAGATCAGATTCAGACTCCTTGCTTCATATATAAATAATCTCAGTGGCTTTTGACAAAACCATGCAAGTGTATTAAAGAAGGGAGTCTTTCATTATTCTGCTGAATAATTTAGCTCCCTATTTCAATACTTCAGTTCTGGGTTGGATGAGAGGAGTATCTTGTATTACACAGCAGCCTATCTGTTGGATTCCATGTAATTATTTAAGAATTGACATGCACTGTTTTGTTTTGCTGCTCCCATTTTAGGTTAAATTCCGCCATTCTGACCCAGTTGTTGTCCCCTCTCTGTTACACACCTGCTGGTTGGAATGGTGAGCAGATGATACCCACCCTAATGAGGGAGAACATAAGAATTGCTAGGCGAAAGAAGACCGAGGTCCATTCAGTTCGCCTTCCACCATCCTGGCAGTCACATGCACATGTCATGTCCCAAACTATACACTGTATCCCAAGATATTATTTCCTAACAGAAATCTATCTAATTTGTTCTTGAAAGAATCAATACTTGCTGCTTCCACCGTCTATCTGGAGAGCCTGTTCCTTACAGTTACTACTCCACAGTATTCTAGGACACTGCTGATGACAGCACAGCCAGCCTGGCTCATCGGCTCCCTGCTTTTGGCTACTTCACAGTGGAAGCTCTATTTAATAATAAACCTTGCATTTGATATAGCGCCTTATCATGTCTTTGAGACACCTCATAGCGTTTCACAGAATATACTGTAAAGAGAATTGACTATATTTTGTAGGCGAAATGGGTCAGCAGTGTCCCACAAACAGTCATGGACTGAGTGACCAATTCATTATTATTTTTTGAAAGAATTATTACCCCGGAAAAGCGATCCGCCAATCAAGTATTTAACCCCCATTCTTCATGGTAATACGGCTAAGATTGCTCACTCATCAAACAGAGACTCAAAGCCATGAACAGCACCTTCTTACCCTGATAATCCATTAAACTCTGACCTATCCTTGACAACCCCCTGCATTTTGCCAGGTTACCTTGCGGACATGATTAGCAGAAGGTTGGGAAAGGAAAGTAGAGAGAAGAGGTGATTTACAGTAAAGTAAACTAAGGAGAGACAAGCTAAGTGCAGTGCATTAAGCATAATCCAATTCTAATTCAGGCTGCATTAATTCAATTAAATGAAATCACATTTATTATAAATGATCACGTGGTTTACATTTCAACCTCTCATTGGAACTGGGCATCAAACAGTGCTGGCCAAGATGTTAGCACATAATATGCTTTATAAATCACAGCAAATGAAAAGTACACCAGCAAATGGAATGTCACCAGACATTATAACAAATGAACTGTTTTAACAAGTTAACAAAATGAAAACCACAAAATACAATTTATTTTGACTTAAAACATTGCTGTATTTGTCCATTGCTTTAATAATATAGTGGGAAAATGTGACATGGTGGTGTGACACCATATTTTTTCCACCCATAGATCTTTAGTTTCTGGGCACTAATCAACAAAATTAATAATAATAAACCTTGTATTTGATGTAGCTCCTTATCACATCTTTGAGATGTCTCAAAACGCTTCGCATAATTTATTGTAAAGTGAATTGACCGCCTTTTCTCCCTCTTCCTTCGCCCATGACAATGCATTGATCAAGCAGTATTGAAAGACATCTGAACTGTCAGAGCTATTATCCTTCAGGTGAGATGTTAAAGTGTGTTCCTGTCCTTTTCTTAGTGGTTCAGGTGACCATTGAATATTTCAAAGAACAGGCTACTTATACTCCTTTGATTTGACCTTATAATGACATTTTTCCACTGACACCCCCAAGTTATTTGGCTGTTTCCTCCTGATCAGCAATTAGGGCAATTCTTCATTAAACTCTCTTGATTGGACACACTAGAAGGACAGGAAACCTTTTGCCTGTTTAATGAGAGAATTGGTAAGCTCCAGTGAGTTGGAAAATTACTGTCAGTAAAAATGGAGATGTATTAGAAAGGTACTGAAACTGTTAGCAGCGTGAATTTATTCACAGTGTTGAAAGTAGATATAAATTAATACAGAATTTTGAAGTACTTAGTTGTTGCTGAAGCTGCATTCTAATTCTTGGTTCAACGTGGTTTTTCGAGACTATATGGTTTACTCCTACTGATGCAACCTCTGCTGTCTGTTTTGGTCAGATGGTGTCTGGTACATGTGGAAACTCAGCACCATGCTTAAGAGTATACTAAAACCACACTGAGAGAACCATATATGTGTGCCACCAATGGATAGAAATTTACTTTATCTGGAATGGAGTGCACACTCTCTCCCCAGAGGGATGCATTCTGAATACCTAATCACAACAACTTGCATTTATATAGTGCCTTTCAAGCAGGGCAGTGTCCCAGAGAGCTCAAATAGAATTAGGCACAGGTTGCAAGAGTCAAAGCATAGGGACTTGGGATTGTGTAACTGGGGTATTGTTTCCATTTAACCACCTAAAACTGCATAGCTTGCCATTGCGAACACTATCTGGTAAGCCTTCAGCTGCTTGTGCAGATGGGACTACACTGCTTGTTCAAGTGATGGCTGGCAGGGTTAGCAGGAGCTCAGTGGGAAGAATCCCACTGAGCCCTTTCAAGTCTTGCTGATGAAACATGCTGGCTGATCTGTCATCACCTGGCTCAGGAACCTTTTCTCTCTGACTACATGTTGGACTTTAGGTTGACAGCTGCTAGCAGGCTCTCTGGTACAAGTGGGCATTCTTCAGATTGAAAGGAAGTGTTGGCAGGCTGTCCAACTGTGGATGTCTTCTCCATCCAGCTCAATCCATGTTTTCTCACCTGAATGAGACAGTTTAGAGTGGATTTTACAGATAAATGTAAGATTTTAAATGAGATTGAGAAGGTAAATCCACAAGAGTACTTTCGGAAGTACTGAAACAGAAAAAGGGGGCAATGGTCCATGGTTACAAAGGGCAACTTCAGGATAGACATCAGGAAGAATTTCTTTACCCAGAGGTAATTACTGATTGGAACAGGAAGGTTGGTTGAGGCCTGGATGCTGGAGTAATTCATAAAACAGCTTTGTGCTGTGATGAGAAGACAGT